GAGCTAAAAAATGACTAAGTCCAACTACCTGTCATTTTCAGAATAATTGAAATAAAATGCTTCGCTGGGCGCAGCTTGATACGACCGCAGAGGTCGAACCCTGAACAGTTGGGGCAAGTATGGACACAACATTCAAGCTTGATACAGCTCTGAATTTGGATTGTGATTAAATATTTGACACAGCATAGGTTTCTGACACAGAAAGAATGTGGTCTAAGAACTTCAATTTTTTTAATTTACCTATTATGGTCCAATGTCCAAAATCAAAATACATGATTAGATTCAGCATATCAAAGAACCCCATATATTCAATTTTTGTTGAAATCAAACAAAGTTTAATTTTGGACCCCAACTTGGACAAACTTGAAAACTGGTCCAATAATCAAAAATCTAAACACATGTTTAGATTCAGCATATCAAAGTACCCCAAGAATTCAATTTTTGTTAAAATCAAACTAAGTTTAATTTTGGTCCCTTTGGACCTTAATGTAGACCAATTTAAAAAACGGGACCCAAAATTAAAAATCTAAAAACACGGTTAGATTTGGCATATCAAAGAACCCCAATAATTAAATTTTTGATGAAATCAAACAAAGTTTAATTTTGGACCCTTTTGACCTCAATATGAACCAATTTGATAGCAGGCCCACAAAATAAAAAATCTAAATACATGGTAAGATTCAGCATATCAAAGAACCCCATATATTCAATTTTTGTTGAAATCAAACAAAGTTTAATTTTGGACCCCAATTTGGACCAACTTGAAAACTGGGCCAAAAATCTAAAATCTAAATACATGTTTAGATTCAGCATATCAAAGAACCCCATATATTCATTTTTTGTTGAAATCAAACAAAGTTTAATTTTGGACCCCAACTTGGACCAACTTGAAAACTGGTCCCATAATCAAAAATCTAAACACATGTTTAGATTCAGCATATCAAACAAAGAACCCCAAAAATTCAATTTTTGTTAAAATCAAACTAAGTTTAATTTTGGACCCTTTGGACCTTAATGTAGACCAATTTAAAAAACGGGACCCAAAATTAAAAATCTAAATACACGGTTAGATTTGGCATATCAAAGAACCCCAATAATTAATTTTTTGATGAAATCAAACAAAGTTTAATTTTGGACCCTTTTGACCTCAATATGAACCAATTTGATAGCAGGCCCACAAATAAAAAATCTAAATACATGGTAAGATTCAGCATATCAAAGAACCCCATATATTCAATTTTTGTTGAAATCAAACAAAGTTTAATTTTGGACCCCAATTTGGACCAACTTGAAAACTGGGCCAAAAATCTAAAATCTAAATACATGTTTAGATTCAGCATATCAAAGAACCCCATATATTCAATTTTTGTTGAAATCAAACAAAGTTTAATTTTGGACCCCAACTTGGACCAACTTGAAAACTGGGCCCATAATCAAAAATCTAAACACATGTTTAGATTCAGCATATCAAAGAACCCCAAGAATTCAATTTTTGTTAAAATCAAACTAAGTTTAATTTTGGACCCTTTGGACCTTAATGTAGACCAATTTAAAAACGGGACCCAAAATTAAAAATCTAAATACACGGTTAGATTTGGCATATCAAAGAACCCCAATAATTCAATTTTTGATGAAATCAAACAAAGTTTAATTTTGGACCCTTTTGACCTCAATATGAACCAATTTGATAGCGGGTCCACAAATAAAAAATCTAAATACATGGTTAGATTCAGCATATCAAAGAACCCCAAGAATTCAATTTTTGATGAAATCAAACAAAGTTTAATTTTGGACCCTTTTGACCTCAATGTGGACAAAGTTGATAACGGGGCCCAAAAATCAAAAATCTAAATACATGGTTAGATTCAGCATATCAAAGAACCCCATATATTCAATTTTTGTTGAAATCAACCAAAGTTTAATTTTGGACCCCGATTTGGACCAACTTGAAAACTGGGCCCATAATCAAAAATCTAAATACATGTTTAGATTCAGCATATCAAAGTGCCCTAAAAATTCAATTTTTGTTAAAATCAAACTAAGTTTAATTTTGGACCCTTTTGACCTTAATGTAGACCAATTTGAAAACGGAACCAAAAATTAAGAATCTAAATACACGGTTAGATTCGGCATATCAAAGAACCCCATATATTCAATTTTTGATGAAATCAAACAAAGTTAAATTTTGGACCCTTTGGACCTCAATGTGGACCAATTTAAAAACGGGGCCCAAAATCCAAAAACTTAATACACGGTTAGATTCAGCATATTAAAGAACCCCAAGAATTCAAGAATAAAACCCCATTGAAATTGATCAAGAAATAAGCAATTTATACGAAGTATCTTCTTTTGCACAATACTGTGCAATTGAATATTTCTTGCTATTGTGCAATACTGTACAATTGACAATTTCTTGCTATTGCGCAATATTGTGCTATTGGATATTTCTTGCTATTGCGCAATACTGTGCAATTGAAGATTTCTTGCTATTGCGCAATACTGTGCAATTGAAGATTTCTTGCAATTGTGCAATACTGTGCGATTGAAAATTTCTTGCTATTGCACAATACTTATTATATAATAATTTACACATCCTGTTTGGTGTGTATCTCCTACCATATCATTATTATTTGCTTTTAAATATTAATCAGAAATAACCAACTTAAAATGGAAAATTTTAAAAGAAAAAAAAAAGGAAAAAAAGAAAAAAAAAGAAAAAAAAAAATCCCCCCCCCCAACTTTTTGAACCCCCTTATGATTCATCACCCCCAAACTCAATCCCAGCTTTCCCTTTGTGGTATGGTACCTTGCAGTACAATTTCAGAGAGATCCATACACTTGAACACAAGTTATTGTCTGGAAACTAGAAAAATGCTTATTTTTGGCCCCTTTTTGGCCCCCAATTCCTAAACGTTTCGGGCAATTACCCCCAAACTCAATTCCAGCTTTCCCTTTGTGATATGGAACCTTGTAGTACAATTTCAGAAATATCCAAACACTTACACACAAGTTATTGTCATGAAACTAGAAAAATGCTTGTTTTTTGCCCCTTTTTTTGCCCCTAATTCCTAAAATTTTGAGGCAATTACCCCCAAAATCAATTACAGCCTTCCCTTTGTGATATGGAACCTTGTGGTACAATGTCAGAGAGATCCATACACTTACACACAAGTTATTGTCTGGAAGTTACAAAAATGCTTATTTTTGGCCCTTTTTTGGCCCCTAATTCCTTAACTGTTGGTACCATAACCCCCAAAATCAATCCCCACCTTCCTTTCGTGGTATTGAACCTTATGGTAAAATTTCATGGAGATCCATTCACTTAAACTAAAGTTAGAGTGCGAAAACCAATGTGTCTTCGGACGACGCCGGACGACGCCAGACGACGACGACGACGACGACGACGACGCCAACGTCATACCAATATACGACCAAAAAATTTTCAATTTTTGCGGTCGTATAAAAACAAGAATGTGTCCATAGTACACGGATGCCCCACTCGCACTATCATTTTCTATGTTTAGTGGACCGTGAAATTGGGGTCAAAACTCTAATTTGGCATAAAAAATAGTAAGATCATATCATAGGGAACATGTGTACTAAGTTTCAAGTTGATTGGACTTCAACTTCATCAAAGACTACCTTTACCAAAAACTTTAACCTGAAGCAGGACAGACGGACGGATGGACGGACGCACAGACTGAAAAACATGATCCCATAATTGGGGCATAAAAATCAAAATCCTGTGGCCATGCACACCTCCATTATGTGTTTGCACATCCTACAAAATATTAAAGCTGTACCACCAAAACTGTAGGAGGAGATAGCCGGACAAACCATGATCTCTTTATGCAGCTAGTACCAAAAAAATGACTAAGTCCAACTACACGCATTTTCAGAATATTTGAAAAAAATCAAATACCTGAGGCCATGCACACCTTCATTATGTGTATGAACATCCTACAAAATATTAAAGTTGTACCTCCAAAACTGTAGGAGGAGATAGCCGGACAAACAATGTATCCTAATACGGACAGATAGACTGACGGACAGATGGACGGACGAACAGACAGACAGGGGTAAATTAATATGCCCCTCGACATTTTGTCACGGGGGCATAAAAACTTAACTTTTACCACTGAACCATGAAAATGAGGTCAAGGTTAGATGACACCTGCCAGTTGGACATGTACATCTTACAATCATTACATATACCAAATATAGTAGACCTATTGCTTATAGTATCTGAGATATGGACTTGACCACGAAAACTTAACCTTGTTCACTGATCCATGAAATGAGGTCAAGTGCAAACTGTCTTACAGGCATGAGGACCTTGCAAGATATGCACATACCAAATATATTTATCCTATTACTCATAATAAGAGAGAAATTAACATTACAAAAAATCAACTTTTTTTTCAAGTAGTCACTGAACCATGAAAATAAGGTCAAGGACAATGGACATATGACAGACGGAAACTTCATATCATAAGGCATCTATATACAAAGTTTGAAGCATCCAGGTCTTCTACCTTCTGAAATATTAAGCTTTTAAGAAGTTAGTTAACGCTGCCGCCGGATCACTATCTCTATGTCGAGCTAGAAGTCGCATGCTCCACAAAAAACTAAGTACATTTATCAGTAAAATACGGAAAAAGTTAACAAAAAATTTTGCTCTGGATTACTGTCATAAACAAATTCATAAAGTTCCACAAAGGTTTGACAAAGTTATTGATGACTGAAAAACTGTAACCTAAGACTAAATCTGAGTGATAACTGCAAAAAAAACATCAGATTTCTTCAGTGTAATTTTAGAATGGATACTTCAGATATTTTGTAAAAATAATACATTGAAAACTTAAAGACAGATTTCCTTCTGATTGATAGGTAAATACAACAGCAAAATCAACATAAAGGCTTCAACTGAATAGCTTTTTTGTTAATAGGTAATAGAAAATACCAAAGTTTTAATTCACATATCTTACATGTACACTTACAAAATAACGTATTCTGTGTTTGATCCCTGTGATATGTGATAGAATAGAGTTACCATCACACTTTGATTCACACATGTTGCACACATATTTAGATGACAGTTTATCATCTTGTTTCTGAAATTCTGTTACATATTGTAAACCTGTATAATAAAAGATAAAACATTACAAATGTACCATGGGTTTATTAGCAAAATATCTCTCAAAACAGTCATACTGTATTGACATTACCCTTTTTTGGACATATATGGTTTAATATCACCAGAAACCCAAATTCTGTCCCAATTTCAGTCTATTGATTATTGCGTTGACCCAGTGATTCAAAATCCATAGGGGTCTTTTTTGGTTAACGTTGGACATATGGTTCAAAACATGGTCAAATTTCAGTTTTAGATGTGACCTTGACCTTTGACCTATTGGGCAATGGAATAGATTAGACATATCTGTGCAAAAAATATAGAAACATTATCTAAATTAAAAATGTTTAAAATAAAATAAAAAAGAGTTCTGGAGTAGGAAATAAAACGGACCCTTGTTACTATGCCTATGGTCCCAGAGACATCAATATTATTTTCAAGCAATTTGTATGTTCAGCTACATTCCTTAATTTAGAACTCTTTAAAATAAATACTGTATCAGACCCATCTTGTTGCAGTGGCTTTACCCATGAAGATTCTAATAATTTCTTCTTTAAATGTTCTTTATATACAAATTTACATCATATTCTTTAGAAATAGTCGTAAATGGATACCAGATGACCTTGTATTGGATCTAGAGATTATAGCAACTGGTAGTTACAATCTGACAAATGAGCAGACTGAAGAGGAAACTTTAGGAAATGTTTTTAACTATATTAAAAAGATCAATAGATTCCTTGTTTTATTATATGTATAATCTGAATGTAGTGATCCAAACTCAGAGATGACCAGTCCTTGTTTTAACTCCTTAATGCTCCTTGCTAAGAGGAGAGGCAACAATGCTCCAACCATGGGGGAAGCATGCTATCACAATACCCCAGACTTCGATAAAACAGTCGTACCTGTCGGTACTGACAGCCAAAATTTCACCAGGTCCACCTTTTTCACATTTGAGCACGGCAGATTGACCGACAGACAATATAGGTCACTGTGATTTGTTTCATCACGTTGGTAGTTTGTCAAATCATCAAACACTAGTTTCCTTTTATACCTTGCATGGTTAGAATTCATAATTTTAGAGCCAGTTGAAGTAATTCAACGGCAGAGTTACGGGTAACATTCGTTGTAGGCACACGTAATTGAAAACAACTGCATTACGTTGAAGGACATTCGTGTGTTCATGATTTCCTGACCGACCACATAGTATGGACACTCTAATTTTTTCAAAGTAAACGTTCCAGCCACCCAAGACACTCAGTCAAGAGCACCAAGGGCAAAAAACCGGGAGGTAGGTCAGGACGAGCAGTAACTGACAGGCGTCGGACCGCACGCCTGGACCCGAGATCCAACTACGAGCTTTTTAACTGCAACAACTTTAATATACGCTATTGGAGCTGGAATTACCGTGGCTGCTGGCACCAGACTTGCCCTCCAATAGATCCTCGTTAAAGGGTTTAAAGTGTACTCATTCCAATTACGGGGCCTCGAAAGAGTTATTTTTCATCACTACCTCCCCGTGCCAGGAGTGGGTAATTTGCGCGCCTGCTGCCTTCCTTGGATGTGGTAGCCGTTTCTCATGCTCCCTCTCCGGAATCGAACCCTGATTCCCCGTTACCCGTTACAACCATGGTAGGCATATCACGTACCATCGAAAGTTGATAGGGCAGACATTTGAAAGATACGTCGCCGGCGGAGGCCGTGCGATCAGCACAAAGTTATCCAGTCTCACCAATCTGACGGGCCCTTGCGAACCTGACTGGTTTTGATCTAATAAACGCGCTCTTTCCGCGAGGTCAGAGCCGTGCTTCATGTATTAGCTCTAGAATTACCACAGTTATCCAAGTAGGATTGTACGATCTAAGGAACCATAACTGATTTGATGAGCCATTCGCGGTTTTGTAAGGATTTTTTCAACTTATTTAATTGAAATTTATGATGGACCATTCGACAAAAACCACATTCATTTTGCTCATTTCCATATTGCAAATGGCGAATATAATTATGATACAGGAACTGGACTCAGTGTAAACAATAATTTTTGTCTGTATTGAAACAATATTTTCCGAAAAGTCTATATTAAAATTTTGACCTACAGCCCCAAAGATATATCAAAAGGAAACACTTTAACAAATTTTTGGATGGACCAGCAAAAGTTTGCTTTCTGTCAGTCCTTGATCTGACAGAAAAAAAATTATAAGTTTTGTGATCTCTCAATACCAAGAAGGATGCATCACAATTCTTCAGACTAACCTAAACGGACAGAAACTCTCATCTTTCTGAATAAAATATCAATTTTGTCATTTAAAGGTCAAACTTCAATGAAGAAATAGCAATTGTTTAACAGTCCACAGAAAGTTGTTACAGTGTTCCAGCTAGGATTTCAAAAGGGCAGGGTGCCAATCCTGAAAAAGGGCATTTAACGCGTGATATGATAATATGAAAAGGGCATGTTTTAATAAAGATTATAATCAAACATTGTTTGTTCATTGAATCACTGGTTATATATATATACAAGAACAACATCATTAGCCCAGAGAAAAACTATCTTTCTACTTTTTAGGCTGAAAACTTATCAAGCAGCTTGTCACACAAGTTTTAAATCATTGCTTGGCACAGTTAAGCTTTATATGCAGTATTTTTTGAAAAATGTCCTTCTTCATTCTGTTTCTATGGTCTGACACACTTTACAAGTTTCACCTTTCTACCTTTTCTGTGCTTAATGACAATACAGCACAAAACAGCTGTAAATGCACAATGTTAGGATATAGTGAACAGTGAAAATTTGGATTGAAATAAAAAATACAGAAAAAGATGACCAAGGCACCCTACCAACCCTGCTACTAAGACCCTCTTTAACTTTTCCCATAACTCAAAACACCTAAACATATAAATTCTAAAGCCAGAAGTATGCAGACATATTTTATAATATCTTAGTAGGTTACTCAATGCTAGGAAAAAATAAGATTGAGTTATCTTTCTTTATTTGGGTGTGCTCCTTCTTTGGAGGATAATAAACAGTAGAAGATGTAAATACGATCAACAATATGGTGGCCGATTTTTTTATTTTCGTATAAAAAATGAAGGCAGTCAATGAAAAATACGTCTTAATTTGCTATTTATTTCACAAAAAAAAACAATAAGAGCAATGTTTTTAACGAGTTGATTATGGTTTTCGACTTTCTGTCAATTACGTTTTCTCCATAAAACTACGGTAAACATTGCTAATTGTGCCCAAGTTGTATGAACATTTCTTCAAGTTCAAAGACAAATGCCGACTGACCGATTCTATTTGAATGAATTAATGTTGATGATCATTAAACGACCCATCCGATAAACGGATTACCTATAACAACAGATTATGACACCTGTTGTAACCGTTGATTAGCTTGGGGTTGTAAACAAAGTCATATACTTGTCGCCAGGTAAATTTTCGTAATTGGCTGATCATATCAATACGAACAAAATAATATACCAATCGATCTTCAAAAAAGGCAGGGCGCCCTGCAAACTGTAAAAAAAAAGGGCATAGGGCGGCACTCGGGAAAGGGCGGGCGGACTGCCCTGTGAAAACGACCTAGCTGGAACACTGGTTGTTAGATATAAGAAGAGGTTGTATGAGTTCCAATGAGACAACTCTCCATCCAAGTCACAATTTGTAAAAGTAAACCCATTATAGGTCAAAGTACGGCCTTCAATGTATATAAATAAACTTGCATATTCAATAGCTTACATGTTCATTTCATGACTGTTAAGAGTAATGAGTGTAATTAACTTACCTATCAATGGCTCACACATACTCTCAAAGGTTTTTGTGATTTTAGCTGGCCTGTCACATGGTACAAGTTTAATGTTGACTGCAGTCAGAGAAGTTGTCTTCCCGCTTACAGCTAAAAATATAACAGAATGATATATCATACAATCTTCACATTTTTACATAAGTGTATAATGTGCTGAATACTATGTACACATATTGTTTCTTTTGGTTTTAATGCAATTGGCACATGATATCGATAAATATGAAAAATTTCATTGTTTTCTCCAGAAACAATATTATTTCTAGAGTCTCTATATATGTTTCTAGAGTTTCTAGAGAAAAACACTGGTATTCTTCTGAAGGACAAATAATGAAAATTTTCTTCTTCCAAATTTACAAACATGTAATTCATACCAAAAATAACTAAAACATAAGTGAAATTCAGCATATTCTTTTTTTCAATATGATTTATTTTTTTATAAAGTAATTTGCATGTCAATGATCTCTGACATTGAACATTTTCTGTTAACATTAAAAATTAATATCTGTCTGATGTTATAAATGTCAAATTTCTTTAGTGATTTCTTTTTTGTTCCAAATTTCAAACAGTTACACAATACACAACATTAAATAGTTCCTGCTAGATCAATTTAATTGAAATGAAGACTTTTTTCTTCAAAATTTTTTTCCAACACAGTTCCATGTTTGTCCTGTATATAATATCTGTAACCATATTCTGTAAATTACCTTTGTCAACTTTCTGAAAAGATACAAAATTGAACAAAAGGTAAATTTCCTGATTTGTTTAAATGCCTGTACATTAAATTTTATCATTATCAGAAAAAATAATCTCTACTCTCTGTTTAGTTTTAGCAAAACAGTCAGTTAAAGTTTGCAACCACTTAATAAAAAATGTATATCCAATATAATGCATGTCCTTCTATCAGTACCAATTACTCTGCTTTTTTGTTTCAATGTTAACTACATATTAATTTTTCATGTTCAAAAATATCATTTCAAAGTCCCTTTAACAGAGGTAGATTGTCTGTAAATGCCTTACTTGAAATCCAAGGTAAATTTTCAGTGTAAATATAATGCAGAAAAGTATAAAAATTGGATAAACATAAATCTTTCAGACAAAATTATGTAGCTTCTGTCAGATACTTTTGTCAAGACAGAAATTTAACATCAAAAGACAATATTTCTATAAATGTCCCTATTTAATTGGTTATCAAAACTGACCTATCACAAATAACATACATTCCTCACCTTTCACATTGTTTCTCTGCTTAATGACGCGAACCGTTCAGTTTTCAATTGTGCCAATCTCATTTTGGAATATGTTTTCACAAAATGTATAAATTAGCACAACTTTTTCAGATTTTCAGAACATATATAATAATATACTGTGAATTTTTATTTCAGAACTTTAAATTTAAAGTATGCTTTTTTGTTGCAAATCTATGACAAATGAAAATCATGCAGGATGAATTTATTTGATTCCTGTAATTGTTGAATTTTTTAGTTATTGTCAAAAAACTGGAAAATCCCCCCTTTTTATTAATAAATTCCAGAACTCGGAAATGTAAAGTCTAAAATTTATAAAAATCAAAAGGGAGTTTACATCAATAGTTTTTTAACAATTCACCAAAGTTTCATGAAAATTGGTTAAAGTGTTTTTGAGTTAATGTCTGACATGTTGACGACGACAGACAAACGGACCATGATATACCATAATACATCCCATACACGGGCGTATAAAAATACATGTAGTATCAAAATCAAACTAACTAAATATGATAGTTTCTAAAATGATTGTTTATCTAACCAGTATTGTATTGGTCTGTTGTACATCTTTGCAATATTAAGAATTCTTTGTATTCTGTCCAACATCAGACGACCAGAAAACAATCAGCTGTTGTTGTACATCACATCCCAATGACACTTTTCACTATAACACTGACTTAATTGTTTAATTACCAATGACATGATAACTTGGTTGATAATTTCTCTCTTTAACCATAATCTATTCATTTTAAGGCATGGTGGAAAACAAAATAAGGGCGGCACTTTAAAGTCAAAGGTGGTGAGCCCCAGACTACAAGTAAGTCATTTTGATCCATGCTTAAAGTAAATGTGCAATTTAGTTCATTTATATGTTTTGGAGTTTAGTATGACGTCCATTTTCACTGAACTAGTACACATTTTCATTTAGGGGCCAGCTGAAGCCGGCCTCCGGGTGTGGGATTTTCTCGCTTTGTTGAAAACCCTTTGGTGGTCTTCGGCTGTTTTCTGCTCTTTGGTCGGGTTGTTGTCTCTTTGACATATTCCCCATTTCCATTCTCAATTTTAATAAATCTTTGAATCAAATGGTACAAGGCAATACTAGTACATGAAACATCTCTGAAATAGGGCTAATCTGAGAGCAAAAATTTGGTAACCTGTTATCAAATATCTTAAATGGTGTATTGGTGATACAACTTACATGTATGAGAGTGTTCAGGAAAATTCATAAAAACTCGTAACAACATTATTTCTTCAAATTATTTTGTTTTTCTTAATTTCAGATTTATTTCTCTTAAACATTTTTTTTGAACAAAAATTAATTACTGGTCAACAATAATAGTCAACAGCCATGGATCATCAGCAATTTCCAGTTTCCTGTCAGTACCTGTACCAACACCGGAAAGTATTTATTAACTGTCACAATTGCAAATTTCTGGCTACATTAATGTAACAATGAATTTTCTTTCTTTCATAATTTTCAAATATTTATCAGTTGGTGGAAAATCCATTTTTGTTCTATTTATGTATAAAAGGAATTGTCTTTGTAATGAGGTAAGTTAGTTAACATCATCACAAAGTTCTAGGTGTTTTCTAGGAGTGACACCAGGGGCGGATCCAGGAATTTTTTAAAGGGAGATTTATTCCCGTTATTTGAAGATAAACCACCAAGCGGAGCGAGACGGAAAAATATTTGGATATATTTATGCTAAATAAACTGCTTTGCCGAGCGCAGCTGGATAAGACCACAGAGGTCCAACCCTGAACAGTTGGGGCAAAAATGGACACAATATTCAAGCTTGATACAGGTCTGAATTTGGATTGTGATTAAATATTTGACACATTATAGGTTTCTGACACAGAACAAATGTAGTCAAAGAACTCAGAGCAATCAAAATACTTATACACAAGTTATTGTCCTGAAATTAGAAAAATGCTTGTTTTGGGCCCCTTTTTTGGCCCCTAATTCCTAAACGGTTGGGACCATCACCCCCAAACACAATCCCAACCTTCTTTTTGTGGTAGTGAACCTTTTGTTTCATAGAGATCCATACACTTAAACTAAAGTTATTGTCCAGAAACCAAATGTCTTCGGAGGACAATGACGCCGACAACTATGACGACAACGTGATAACATTATACGAACACATATATTTTGCGGTCGTACAAAAATCAAATGAATAGCAGAAAATATGAGATTTTTAAAAAAAATTGGCAATCAAAGAGGTAAGGCCTCTACACCCTATCCTGGATCCGACACTGGACATATTCATTGATATGACTGTGTTTTTACAGCTATTTTCAGTATGTTGATGAGCTTTAATGACTTTAAAATTTGGTATGTTGAAGGAATCAAACCTGACCTGAGTAAATTTTTAGCAACAGTTACTTATACTATCTAATATAACCTGGAACATCTTCCAGTAAACCACGAATCTTCAGTGAAAGTAACAAATAGTCTTTCACAGATAGGTAGACCTCAGTAAAAACTACCAACAATCAGTTAGAGAAATCAATTTATTGTAAATTCAGAAATCAATGCAACTAATTGAGTATTGCAATAATAAGAACCTGCATTCTGATATCTGATACATATATCTGAATGCAGATTTTCCTGAAATCGCAATAATTAATCTCGCATTTTTGTCCATTTTTTAAAAATCACAATAATATTATTACATAATGATTTCTAAATTACAATACTCTTTCACAGACTTGTTGAGTTCAGTTGAAACCACTTATCATCATTAAGAATAACCTATTTACTCTTTCACAGACTGGTTGATATCAGCTAAAACCACTTATCTTCAATAAGAGTATATAATTTACTCTTTCACAGACCTGGTAGATCTCAGTGAAAACCACTAATCTTCAATAAGAGTATTGAATTTACTCTTTCATAAAATGGCAGATCTCATTGAAATCCATCAACCTTTAGTAAGAGTAACTAATGTACTTTTACACAGACTGGTAGATCTCAGTGAAAAACACTAATCTTTTATAAGAGTAACTGATTTACTCTTTCACAAAATGGTGTAAAACCACCAGCCATCAGTTAGAGTAACTGATTCACTCTTTCTCAGACTGGCTGATTTCTTTGAAAAACCAACCTTCAGTAAGAGTACCTTATTTACTTTTACAGATTGGAAGATTTCAGTGAAAACCATCAACCTTCAAATCTGAGGAGTACATTATTTACTCTTACAGATTGGAAGAGTACCTCATTTACTCCTACAAACTCGTAGATCTCAGTGAAAACCATTAATCTTCAACAAAAGTAACTGATGTACTCTTCCACAAATGGTAGATCTTATTAGTTAACCACCAACCATTGGTGAGAGTAATCAATATAGTATCATGATCTATCAGGTCTTGAAGAAAACTAGTCTAAATAACTTACATTCTCAAAAAAAACCTGATAAGAAATTTAGCTTCAGCTTGGATACTGACATACTATTATCATATTTGATATGTTGTGTTTATATTGAAAAACAATCACACATATACACAAGACTTTTCTCAAAATTTGCTTACAAAACCTATACGTTTTGACTTTTAACTTTCCATCTGCCTTGAATGAAGTAGCATAAAACTTTATTATAATTATCTGACATTGTATTATCTGCACTGTAAAGGATAATTTATATACCTTTCCATATTATGTATTATGTGTTTTGAAAAAATAAAATGAATATAAAAAATATCTGAGAAAACCATTAACATATAGTGAGAGTAATTGACTAACTCCTTCTCATAAAAGAGCAGGGATATCTATTGATGAAAATTTAACCATGGGAGAACTTTCAACAGAATAAAAATCCCTAAGGTTTGAAGTGATCAAAATTATTTCTACCTCAAATTTGCTGTAAGAAATAGTAAATAGGCTGATATATATATATTTTGTCGGTTATAAAAGCTCAAAGAGCTTATGTTATTGTTATAAGACATGCCGACTTTAAATAAAGCTTTTGATTGTTTATCATATAAATTTCATTATAGAATAACCAATGTTATCATTAATTGTCATCTGCATCAAGTATCAACCCAGTCTTCCTGTCCTAGGGTCTCTTGGTTTATACCAGTGAGAGATTTCTAATCACATTCTTAAACAATCTGCAAGTCTTAGTACTTATCCTGTTGATTAAAGTACTTAAACCTCATTTTACTTTCTGAACCAGTGGTTCAGGGATTTTCCTACTATAAAGTTTTTCAGTCATTTTTTAGGACTTGTAAAAAATCTGTGATCATTTTTCATACTACATGTACCAAATCATAGTAAAACGAACTCATTTCAATGGTTTGCAGCATGCACATTTTTTGTAAAAATGTTTATTTAGATTTGTGGAGGGTAACTGTAAAATTGAAATGATTTTAATGACTTAAAATTGCAATTACCTCTGGAAAAGACCATATATCTTTCAATTCTTATAAAATGTATCGAACATGATTATAAACCAAAAATGAGTAAGGTTTCCCTACATGGATTTCTTTAGATTGTTAAGTGACATTTAACATTCATCTATAAACTTAATACTTATAAAATTCATTTAATTTGATTGATAATTGTTGTACATGTATTTGTGTAATTTGCTAATTGTTGTACATGTATTTGTGCAATTTGCTAATAATTTGTTTTTACGTTTAAGTGTGTAATTTTGTACTTGTTAAATATTTATAGGTATGCAAATCATATAAGAATTATAACAAAATATCATCTATATTTATTCAAAATTACGACTTAAAATAAAAGTACATTTTTAAAGTTCATCACAAATAACCTACAACTATTATGAACAAACAAACACCCTCCCCACAAAAATAATGTTTTGACAAAAAAAAAAAAAAATTTATCAGAAACAGTCCATAAATATTTGTTATAACTTATACATACCGTTTTGTGTTTGTTCCCCTCTACATGCATCTTGAAGGTTACAGAACCTGTACATCTAACATCACAAACCTATAAAATATATATAGCAGGGCTTTGGACACTACTATACCAAAAGTCATAATACCATAAAATGCTCTGCTGGGGCGCAGCTTGATACGACCGCAGAGGTCGAACCCTGAACAGTTGGGGCAAGTATGGACACAACATTCAAGCTTGATACAACACTGAATTTGGATTGTAATTAAATATTTGACACAGCATAGGTTTCTGACACAGTATTAAAGTGGTCTAAGAACTTTAAAAATTTTAATTTACCTATTCAGACCATATCATTATTATTTACTTTTATATATAAATCAGAAATAACCAATCTAAAATGGAAAATTTTAAAGAAAAAAAAGGAAAAAAAAAATCCCCCCCCCCAATTTTTTGAACCCCCTTATGATTCATCACCCCCAAACTCAATCCCAGCCTTCCCTTTGTGGTATTGTACCTTGCAGTACAATTTCAGAGAGATCCATACACTTGAACACAAGTTATTGTCTGGAAACTAGAAAAATGCTTGTTTTTTGGCCCCTTTTTGGCCCCAAATTCCTAAACGTTTCGTGCAATTACCCCCAAACTCAAACCCAGCTTTCCCTTTGTGATATGGAACCTTGCAGTACAATTTCATAAAGATCCATACACTTACACACAAGTTATTGTCCTGAAACTAGAAAAATGCTTGTTTTTTTGCCCATTTATGGCCCCTAATTACTAAAATTTTGAGGGAATTACCCCCAAAATCAATCCCAGCCTTCCCTTTGTGACATGGTACCCTGCAGTACAATTTCAGAGAGATCCATACACTTGAACACAAGTTATTGTCTGGAAACTAGAAAAATGCTTATTTTTGGCCCCTTTTTGGCCCCTTATTCCTAAACTTTTTGGGCAATTACCCCCAAACTCAATTCCAGCTTTCCCTTTGTGATATGGAATCTTGTAGTACAATTTCATAAAGATCCATACACTAACACACAAGTTATTGTCATGAAACTAGAAAAATGCTTGTTTTTTGCCCCTTTTTGGCCCCTAATTCCTAAAATTTGGAGGCAATTACCCCCAAAATCAATCCCAGCATTCCCTTTGTGATATGGAACCTTGTGATACAATGTCAGAGAGATCCATAGACTTACACACAAGTTATTGTCATGAAACTAGAAAAACGCTTGTTTTTTGGCCCCTTTTTGGCCCCAAATTCCTAAACGTTTCGTGCAATTACCCCCAAAGTCATTTCCAGCTTTTCCTTTGTGATATGGAACCTTGTAGTACAATTTCATAAAGATCCATACACTAACACACAAGTTATTGTCATGAAACTAGAAAAATGCTTGTTTTTTGCCCCTTTTTGGCCCCTAATTCCTAAAATTTGGAGGCAATTACCCCCAAAATCAATCCCAGCATTCCCTTTGTGATATGAAACCTTGTGATACAATGTCAGAGAGATCCATAGACTTACACACAAGTTATTGTCATGAAACTAGAAAAATGCTTGTTTTTTGCCCCTTTTTGGCCCCTAATTCCTAAAATTTGGAGGCAATTACCCCCAAAATCAATCCCAGCATTCCCTTTGTGATATGGAACCTTGTGGTACAATGTCAGAGAGATCCATACACTTACACACAAGTTTATGTCTGGAAGTTGCAAAAATGCTTATTTTTGGCCCCTTTTTGGCCCCTTATTCCTTTACTGTTGGTACCATAACCCCCAAAATCAATCCCCACCTTCCTTTTGTGGTATTGAACCTTATGGTAAAATTTCATTGAGATCCATTTACTTACTAAAGTTAGAGTGCGAAAACTAATGTGTCTTCGGACGACGACGACGACGACGACGCCAACGTCATACCAATATACAACCACAAAATTTTTTTTGCGGTCGTATAAAAATACCAATGACAATAATTTTACAATTTTTGCAACAAATTTTCTTTGAAATCTCTAGGAATAATGGGTTAAAGAAGAAATTAAAATGTTGGACATAAATACATAAATATCATACATGGAATTTTTGTGCTGTTTAAACCACTGTCACAGGTTAGGGGAAGGTTGACGCCTTCAAACATATTTAACCCAGTCGCATTCTGTATGTGCCTGTCCCAAGTCAGGAGTCTTTAATTCAGTGGTTGTCATTTGTTGCTGTATATCACATTTGTTTTTCGTTCATTGTTTTGTACATAAATCAGGCTGTTACGTTTCTGGTTCGAATTGTTTTACATTTGTCATTTTGGGTCCTTTTAAAGCTTACCATGCAGTATTGCTTTCGCTCATTGTTGAAGGCAGTACGGTAACCTATAAATGTGAACTTCTATGTCATTTGATCTCTGGTGAAGAGTTGTCTTATTGGCAATCATACCACACCTTCTTATTTTTATAACTAAAAAAATCCAAGAACTGATGGATTTTAAATCTCACATAGTCAAATATAGGCAATCCGCTCTCCATACTGAATTGTTTTTCTTGAGAGCTGTTTTATTTGTCACAAAATAGAGAATATATCATAAAACTGCATATGACTTTCTTAAATACCCTTATGATACAGTTGATAAAACATGTAAACTGTATTTTACCTCACAATAGAATTCATCAGGGAACTGTTCCTTGCCAACATCATTAGGATTGAGGTCTTTTTCCCAAGCAGGTATCTTCGGCTTTTGTTCTACTTCAACATCCATCCAGTTGGCTTTGTTAAAATCATAATCTCCACTATCTGCAGCCTCACCAGATGAATTCATAACCATCTTTAATCTTTCTTGAATTGACTTTTTGTTTTCTTCTGCAAGCTGCTGTCTTTCTCCGGTTGATAGGATTTTTTTACCTTGCTGATCTCTCCTTTCATATTTTGGACCTGTATACATAGAAAATTTATGTCTATGTTAGCAAATACATTAAAGTCATATGAAACGAGTTACTGATGATTATTATGTTAATTATTGAACCAAGGCATGCATTTATACTTAACCATTTTTACATTTTGACGAATCCATAAAATATCATTGACAAAATAAATTTCATTCAGTGATTGTTGATCAAAAGCTTTGGTTACTAATCATGTTTGGGTTTTGGTGCCTAGGTTTATCTATTGTGACCTTGATAAACAATCATCACAGAATCTTGATGGAACCTTTTTCTGGACTGCCAATTACATCTTTGTAAAACTAAATTTCCCACTCATTCAATAGCCAATATTATTTTGATGAATACAAAAGTATTTAAACATCTTACCAGCATCTACTATTTCTGTTTTAAAGAACTCTTCTCCCTCATCTTTCTTTTTTCTCTCAAAATCCATCAGCTTCTGTGTGTGTAGTAAACCTCTTGTGTGTTTCCAGTACGACTGCAAAATAAAATGTTCTTATAATACACTTATCTTATTGTTTACATGTATATACATGTAGCTTACATTTTTGCACGAAAATATTTATAAATATATATATATATATATATATGCAGGCGTTGTTTCCCACGATATCTCAGATGCAGGGGTTGGAGTTCCACTGAGGGAAGAAGGAAAATTTGCAACATGTCATAAAGTTGTCACATATTTAGATGTACAATAAAATCCTGTATATATATATATGCTATTGTGTTGTGAATATTTGTTAAATGTATATATTTATATGCTGTATTGCTACGAAAAAAGTTATTATTATATACATGCAGCTTATATTGAACTGTGAATGTTTTCAACACTAGAAAGAAGGAAAATTGGTGCTAAATATTATTGATTTGCTTAACTGGCTCTGAAATTATTTGAGTAGACTACAAGTACAAATCAAATCTCAAAAAAGTTCTTGTATACTGACACTTTGGCATAAACATGATAAACAGCAGTAAAATGCAAATGCGATTCACTGAAAATACATTAACTGGAACTTGTGTCTGCTAGTAGGATTATTCAATTTCCTATCTAATGTTTTGACTAACATTGTTTTTTTTTGTGTTTTTGACTATATAATTTTAACTCATTATTTCAGTATATTGAATTTATATTTGTTTAATAACACTTGATTTATCTGACCAACTTTGGTTTAATTCATCTTCCTTATATTTGATCATTCAAACATTTTGTGAACATCATACTTCAAATCAGATCAGATGAAAGTGTCCTTAAAGTTCACCCTCTTAATGTTAAACATAACTTACATCTGGGTTATTAAAGTTAATGTTACAGTACTGACAGTAACCAGTATCAATTTCCTCATCAGAATCCTCCTCCTCTGCCTCTTCCTGTGTTTCTTCCTTTACTTTATATTGAGATAAACTGCTATCCAACTGTCCTTGACTGACAGAACTTTGATTTTTTTCTGATACAGAGGATGGCTGAAATCCATGTTTTAACGGAGACTGCACAGTCTGTGGCCCAGGTGATGACTTAAATGCTTGCATGACTGGAGACTGTATTTTTTGTGGCCCAGGTGAAGAATGAACATTTTGTGATCCAAATGGGGGTGTTTGATGTGGACTCCTCTGAAGTATAGGACTCTGTGATCCAATAGATGTCTGTGGTTGAGGTCCATCTGATTTATCATACTGTGGTGAACTAGTTGGAACATACTGTGGTGAACTAGTTGGAATATACTGTGGTGAACTAGATGCAATTTGCAGATTACATGAAAGTGTACTTAGCAGAGGAGAATTTGGGTGAAATGGTGGTAACATATACTTTGGTTTCCTTATGATGGATTCTTCTGAATTGACACTAGACAATAAACTCTGTGCAAATGATGCTATTAATTTGTCACTTCCTGCCACCAATGCTTGACTCTCTGTAGTAATGGCTTTGTTGGCTGTACTTGAAGCAGTAGCTGTGGTAGCTGTGATTGATAACTGCACAGTGTTGTGTGCACTACTGGTCACAGGAGCTTCAGAGGAAATAGAACCAAGACTTGGTAAAACAGAAGGTCCTGATACAGAGTTGTTCTGACTGGTACTACTAACAACTGCAGAACTTGTTACAACTGATGTCTCACTTGATGATTGAAGGCTTTTCAGAAAAGATGGACTTGACAAGAAAGTTGGCTGAGACAAAGGTGTCTTTGATTGATCTGTTTTAAATGATAGATTTTCTAGCTTTTGGGTGGATTGTTCTGAAGTTGCTGGTTTAGTATTGTTGGACACAAAAGTCTCTGTACAAAGACCTGGAAGTCCTGACGTCTCTGAGACTGAAGTTTGCACACTGAAGTTTTTAGGTTCTGCGGCATGTTGCACTGATGTCTTTGTTTTAAAGTCTTGAGGATCCAACTCTTGTGTGGCTGATGAACTTTCAGTTTCATCTTTTGATAATAATGAGGTCTGCTTAGTCATTGGCTCTGAAGAAAAGAATGGATTGTGCTTGTAAATAAACATGAATATTTCCCTTACACAACAGATTCTTTCATGCTGATTTTTCTTCTGGCATATTCAAAATTTCAGAAAAATAACAATTCAAAAAGCAAACTCTTTTAACATTGCATGAACAAAACACATGTGGATTATCATAATAGATTTAAAAATATAAATGTACTCATAACATGAAGATTCCAATGGTTGAATTTAACCTTATTCGGTGCAGCTGGATACGACCACAGAGGTCCAACCCTGAACAGTTAGGGCAAAAATGGACACAATATTCAAGCTTGATACAGGTCTGAATTTGGATTGTAATTAAATATTTGACACATTATAGGTTTCTGACACAGAATAAATGTCATCAAAGAACTTGAAATTGGTCATATGATTTGAATTAATATTCAATTGAATATTTCTTGCTGTTGTGCAATACACTGTGCTGTTGCGCAATACTTAGTAAATCTGTTTTCAGACTATATACAAAGAATTAGCAAAAAAAATTAAGACCCCCAATTTTATTTTTGGAAAATTGATAATTTCTTAAATCTTTAGGAAAAAAATTGACCCCCCTTTAAAAAAAATTTTTTTTTGGCCCCTAATTCCTGAACGGTTTGGGCAATTACCCCCAAAATGAATCCCAACCTTCTACTTGTGGTATTGAACCTTGTGGTACTATATCAGAGCAATCAAAATACTTATACACAAGTTATTGTCCTGAAACTAGAAAAATGCTTGTTTTGGGCCCCTTTTTAGCCCCTAATTCCTGAATGGTTTTGGCAATTACCCCAAAAATGAATCCCAACCATCTACTTGTGGTATTGAACCTTGCGGTACAATTTCAGAACAATCAAAATACTTATACACAAGTTATTGTCCTGAAACTAGAAAAATGCTTGTTTTGGGCCCTTTTTTGGCCCCTAATTCCTAAACGGTTGGGACCATCACCCCCAAAAACAATCCCAACCTTCCTTTTGTGGTATTCAACCTTTTGATTAAATTTCATAGAGATCCATACACTTAAACTAAAGTTATTGTCCGGAAACCAAATGACTTCGGATGACAACGTGATAGCATTAATTATACGAACGCAAATTTTTAATTAAAAATTTAATAGTAAATTTATGCCAAATTTCTCTTTACCTGCACCCTAACTTTGATCAGCTTTAGATCAAGGACTAGACACCAGAAGTACAGATAGATTAATGCCATATGACATTAAGTATATACACAACATAAAGTCAAAATCAGTTTATTTATCTATTAATCTTCGTCACATGTTAGAGTGAAATTATTATGATTGCTTTTAGGTTGAAAAGAAACATGCAAGAAAGTTGTACGTATTTTAAACAAAATAGGTCCAATGTAGAGCTGTAAAATCAGTAAAATATTTGGGTTATTCTGGTATAAAATGAAAGCTTAAGGTCTTGGGATCACTGTAGGACCCTTGTTGAAAGTTTCTTTTGAATTAAAAAGAAATATATGAAAGTATACATGTATACATGTACATGATACAGGAGGGCATATTTGCCCTGTTCTGATCAGAACTTCAGAAGTACCTGATTTTGTACTACCAAACTATTGGGAATCTGCAGTGTGCTCTAATGTGCAATTAAAGGTATGTTGAATTTTTTAGCACAAGTAACAATAAGGTATTGTCTTGACATGAAATGACTGTCACTTTATTTGAAACTTCAGACAAAATAGCTATGAATACTTGAAATTGCAGAATTTTACATAGAAAGTAATTGGGCTATGAATTAGTGGTTTTATTCCTTTAGGGCTTGCATTACAAAAGAAAATGCATGATGTACATTATATACAGAAAACATGATAAACTAAGTAAAATCAATTACAAATAACTGCTATCAGGATTGGTAGAGATTAGGTCGGTATTAAATTCACTCTTTGTCAAATGCAATTTGTCAAAGAAAACAAAATAAACATAGTTTTGATTGATTCTGTCACGAACTTTGATTAAATAAATTAGCTTTTAACACAACTAAAATATTGGTGAAATGTTTTTTGATATCCTCATTTTTGACATTATACATTTGTAAGTTTTCTTGACCTTTGACATGCTTGACTGCAATCAAAACATATAAAAACCTTGTGTCAGTGGCATACATGTTTGACTGCATTCAAAACATATAATAAATTGCTTCCCCGAGCGCAGCTGGATACGACCACAGAGGTCCAACCTTAACAGTTGGGGCAAAAATGGACACAATATTCGCGCTTGATACAGGTCTGAATTTGGATTGTAATTAAATATTTGACACATAATAGGTTTCTGACACAGAATAACTGTAGTCAAAGAACTTAGAATTGGTTATATGATTTGAATTTATATTAAATTTTTTGCTTTTGTGCAATACA